AAATTTACCACTACTCCAAGTGTAAATAATATGAAACGGAGTTCATTAGTTCAAAAAAAACACCTCAGGCTTCTACCATAGGAATGAGTTCAGATAAGCTTCTCAGGTGGAAATAGAAATGTTGGGGACATTTTTATCGCTAGAAAATATTCTAATCTTTATACTCATGACATGAGAATAGAGGAGATATGCATCTATGAGAGTTAAAAATTCCAATACCTAATTTAAAATATTCTAAAATTCAAATTACATGAGCTAAATAAGACACCTTCAAGTAATATGAAACTTCGTCATTATATTATGAAGCCTCCCTCCACCCAAACAGCAACCACCGTCTCACAAAAAAAAAAAAAAGGAATGTCTTATAAACTAAGGGAGTAAGGATAGAATATATATGCTCTATTACATTTTTCAGAAGTACCCCTCAAATTTAAGGGTAAATTTTATAAGATGATGGTGAGACCTGCAATTCTTTATGGGGCAAAATATTGGCATTTCAAGAGAAGCATAAAATTAAGTTAAGTGTTGGAGAGATGAGGATGCTCAAGTGGATGAGTGGATTTACACTTAGAGATAGGATGTGAAATGAGTATATAAATGAAAAAGTTGGAGTAGCTCTAGTGGTAGATAAGATTAGAGAGAGTCACCTCAGATGGTGTGGTCACATAAAAAGTCAGTCTTTCACTAACTCAGTTAGGAGAGTAGATGTATTAGATTTGACCTATGTTAGGCCTATGTTAAGAAAGGTAGAGATAAACTGATAGGAAATACTTGAGTTCGCAAGTAACCCTAAGGTAATACTTGAGTTCGCAAGCCATCCTAACCAAAATCGGCGAACAAACAGCAGCCAAATGGCTGTCCACAGCAGGAAAACAGCAGAAATCTGCTGTTTACAGCAGAAAAACAGCAAAACTACAAGGAAATCCGAGAGAAAACTCAAAGAAAAGCTTATATTCCACTAGTCGATGAATAAAATAGCAAGATACAATTGATCCTCAATTCGAGAGGAGGATCGATCTCTCCCAAATCTCTAGACGCCGCTAGAGCCCAAAGAAAATCTAAATCTAAGAGATCTCAAATTTCAGCCAAATTCAAGATGCCCAAACCCTAGGAAATTCAACTATTTAATGCATACAAATCAAAAGGAAATCCCTAAACAGTCCCTACATTCAAATTTCCCTCTCAAAACGCTAAAAAACGCTTCCTAAAATGCTCTAATGGGCTGGTTGGGCCGCTCGATCTCCGCAGGAGGCAGAGATATATCGCTCTTTGCGACTTGCCGGTTCTGTGCGGACCGGCTGGACCGGTCCAGTGGACCAATCTAACAATACTCCCCTCCCAAAAATCCACCTTGTCCTCAAGGTGGAGATATGCTCGTGTTCCGGTGGAGGTGGCCATCCTTGAGGTGACTGAAAATCCTTACTGTATTGATGAACCAAGGGCTGACCGGAAGGAGGAACATCCCCTCCCTCTTTAAATCTGATCGCATCCAGCCAGTGTAGTCCCATCAGATAATCTTCCCCCACCTTTTGTACGTCCCTAACCATGGGCTTAAGTGATGTGATGGCTTTGGATAACCCTGCATCTCCCCTTATGACCACCCTTCTCCCATCCACCATTAATTCCATCGTGAGTGCTCCCATCGTGAGTGCTCCCATATCAGTGCTTCCTAATTCAAGTGGGAGAAAGTCCTCCCTTACTTAAATCCCCTGAATGGTCAACACCACTCCTTTACAGGTTCCCTGACCTGTCTCCACCTTCCCTGTACCCATCATCACCCCATAACAACCGGTGTCCACCACTTTCACTCACAGTTGGTTGACGACCTGAGTGGAAATGAAATTGTAGGTAGCCTCACTATCAATTAGCACCACCACCTCACGGTCAGATATATCTCTTTTCACTTTCATAGTGTGACTCGGAGTGAATCCCACTACAGAGTTCAGAAAAACTTCTGCCACATCCAGGTGCAGCTTCCCCTCCTCTTCAGATCTGCTCCCACCTCCCTCGTCTTTCTTGTCTTCACACACAAGGAGAACCTGAAGAGTTCGATCTTTGCACCTATGCCCCGGCATGTACTTCTCATCACATCTGAAGCACAACCCCTTTGTCCTCTTATCCTGCATCTCCTTCTCTGTTATTCTCTTGAAATTTTCTCCACTCCCTCCTACTGGCTTCTCCCTGGTGGTCTCATTAATGTTGCTTGATGCAGACCGCTTGGGTGCTAGAAGAGTGGTCGTCGTCCCATAAGATCCCCCTGAATAGTTTCCTCGAGCCCCTTTTTCTGATTTCTTCTGATCTTCCACCAACTGCGCAAGCTCCATAGCCTTCCCTAGGTTCCTCGGCTCCAGCACCCTAACCGTTGTTCGTATCTCAGGTTTAAGCCGCTTCATGAAGTTCCCTTCTAGGGCGGACTCTAAAATGTGATCCAATCTGCTAGCCAAGTATTCAAACCGATCCCGATACACTGCCACAGTCCCTTCTTGTGTCAAGGCAAAGAATTGCTCATAGAAGTCTCCTCCCCTGTCGGTTTGGAAACGCTCTAATAAGCAATCCTTAAACTCTCTCCAGCTCCGGATGGGCTCCCTCCTGTCACGCCATTGATATCTTGCCAAAGCTTTCCCTTCCAGACACAGACCCCCCGCTGTCAATTTTTCATCCTCTGTCAACCCGTTGACAGCGAAGTAACGCTCCAGTAGATCCAGCCATGGCCGTCTTCGCCCTCAAAGATGGGCATTTTCAGCTTCCTCACCTGTGGGTCTCCTCCAATTCCCCGGTACCCTCCATAACCTCTCATTCTTCGAAGGGGAGGTGCTCCCCAAGTGTCCCGACACGGTTTAAAATTGCGCAATATGAGGCTCGCCTTGAGACCCGCCTTTGCGCAATTCCAGTAAAAAACGCCTCGATGCTTGCGCCTTGAGTTTTTTTTATGAGGCTTGCTCCTCAACTTGGTTGAGGCCCGCCTTGTGGCCCTCTTCGCCTCACTGGCATGAGGCTTACGCCTCACGCTATATATATTAAAACTTACATAAATCTTGAAGTAAATGCCCGACATTGGACTCTATAGGAGAGGAGGAAAGGGAGAGAGTTGTTCACCATAATGATGATTCAAATGAAGAATCCCTTAGTGATGACACTGCTGATGACTTATGAGTTCTTATGTGATATGTCATTGCTATTTATTTTTTAAAATTGGAATTATATGTTAATGAAAAGAATACTAGGATTTGGGAAAGATAGAATTTTGAGTTGAACTATATTTCATGTTGTCTTATTATTGAGATATTTTGATCTCACTTCATATCTTATGCTTTTTTATGTTTTATATTATTCACTCATTAGTATATAAAAAATTTATCATTTTATGTTAACGCAATTTTTTGATTTTGAGGCTTACGCCTCAAAACGCCTTGAGGCTTACGCCTCGCCTCACGAATGAAAAACGCCTCAATACCCGAATACGCAATTTTAAACATTGTGTCCCGGTCATATCTCCGGCGATTATACCCAAACTATTCCTCATATTCCCCTCTTCCCTTTTCAAAATCAGCACCTTGACGCTGAAATTCAGCACCTCAACGCTGAAATTCTTCTCTTCTTCCGCCAAAATCTGCACTTTCGTCGTATTCCCCTCTCCTACCTTTAAATTCCGCACCTCAACGCTGAAATTCAGCACCTCGACGCTGGAATTCCTCTCTTCTACCGCCAAAATCAGCACCTCTTCGATCGTACCCCAGACTCATCTCCTCTCTAGAAAGCGGTTCTAGAGGAGGCATATTGTCTTCCCCCTCAAGGATCTCCACCTCCGGATTCCTCCTCCCCCGGACCGGGTTTGGATTTCCTCCTACGCCTTGGCCGTCGGTGGTCTCTCTTACTTCCGATGCTGCCGGATTGGTCTTCATTTCTAGTAGTTTCTTCATCATTTCTTTCATCGCCGCGAACCACCCTTCCAACCTGTCATTGTTGGTGGAGATTTCCAGGAACTTTCCCTCCAGATCTGTCTTTAGTTGTCCGAACTCGCCTTCCAATACTTCCACCTTCTTTCCGGCCATCTTTCTTCCCAACAGATCTCAAAAATTTCACTTCCGGAAGCCGAAAGCTCGCTAAAAATCAGAATTTCAGCCGCCTAAGGTCCCAAAAACGACGCTCTGATACCAATTTGATAGGAAATACTTGAGTTCGCAAGTAACCCTAAGATAATACTTGAGTTCGCAAGCAATCCTAACCAAAATCGGCAAACAAACAGCAGCCAAATGGCTGTCCACAGCAGGAAAACAGCAGAAATCTGCTGTTTACAGCAGAAAAACAGCAAAACCACAAGGAAATCCGAGAGAAAACTCAAAGAAAAGCTTATATTCCACTAGTCGATGAATAAAATAGCAAGATACAATTGATCCTCAATTCGAGAGGAGGATCGATCTCTCCCAAATCTCTAGACGCCGCTAGAGCCCAAAGAAAACCTAAATCTAAGAGATCTCAAATTTCAGCCAAATTCAAGATGCCCAAACCCTAGGAAATTCAACTATTTAATGCATACAAATCAAAAGGAAATCCCTAAACAGTCCCTACATTCAAATTTCCCTCTCAAAACGCTAAAAAACGCTTCCTAAAATGCTCTAATGGGCAGGTCGGGCCGCTCGATCTCCACATGAGGCAGAGATCTGTCGCTCTTTGCGACTTGCCGGTCCTGTGCGGACCGGCTGGACCGGTCCAGTGGACCGGTCTAACATAGACCTTAAAAGACTAAATTAGAAAGTATTAGAAATGACATATTTGACTTAGATTTAAATGATAATTTGACTCTTAATAGGACAAATGAAGAAAAAGGATTCATTTAATAGACCCCACGTAGTGGGATAAAAGCTTGTGTTCTTGTTGTATTATATTTTCCACAAGCACACAACAAGAAGAATCGTAAAATCATTTAGCTACAAAGAGGAGAAGATAGAGAACTTTTATCAATTTCTAAGACAATAAACTGAAGTAAGAAAGATGCATACCCGGTCATTTGGAGCAGCTGCATGACCATAGTGAAGAACAGCACTGCACAACATGCAACAAAATAAGAATTAATAAAGGTTCCAGAAGATGGTAAATGTTGACAGCTAGTATCAACAGCACATATAGAAGGCAAAGTTTATAAGATCCAAAGAAAACAATGTGACAAAAGAACATCAATAATTTTTCCTTTTGCAATGAAGAAATCATATATGAACAGTTTTGGTTATCATCTAAGACACTATAAAATCAGTATCAAGAAGCATTCGAACTAAATAGAATGGAAAGTGTTCTGATCAGAATCAACCAATCATAAAGATGTATATAGACACTAACCAAAAAACCAACTCACCATTAAATTCCCATCTAATTTCATTAATTTTGTCTGATTTTAAATCAAACACTCAAGTCCATTTGAAGTGTATTGATAGACTACTAGAATTAGCCAGACCGAGACGTCATGGCCACCAAGGAGATTAAAATATCACAAATTTGAAAGATTCTAAGTTTTGTAACTTTAACAGGAGCAATATTCTTACCTGTTTTCTCCTGTGGCGCATATACATGTATATGAACAGTGCCTACAACCACCATACATGTAGATGTGATGAAGAAAGATGCTCTCCAACTGATATTCTTTCATGTCCGCGCTGATTCTTCTCATAACCTAATCAAAATTATACACTAAAAACTGAACGATTGCTAAAACATTAAAATTCTTTCAAGAAAGACAACATAGTCCAGAAATATTGGAAAGCATTAATATAGCGATCAAGCAACCATGCAGTATAAAGGACATCATCTATATTACAAACTCCATATTCTATTGTTTTAAAACCTCCAAAAAAATATCCTTTGAAATGATAATATGTATAGAGCAAGACCTCTGCTAACCTGCTCTCCCTTTAAAAGCAATAGCCCAATTTAATACAATAACAATTTTCATATTTTTATAATCTAAAGTACATGAAGATTATTTCTACTAGATTAAGGTTAGAAAATTGTGCCTTTATATAGCTGACTGTAAATTCTTAAAATAATTTATATTTTACATATAAAGATAAAGGGTCAGCAAGCTTAAAATTAAGCCCAGAAAACGGTAAATTTATCATATTTTTAATATTCTTGGATTTATATAGTTCGTATAAGGCAATTCCTTATTCTACACTAGAAAGCTCTCAATGAGCAGTGGATTTTGTTGGAGAAATTTTTCCATCCTCAACGGATTGCATATTTTGTGATCGACCATGGCATAGAAAATAATATATATTATCCCAAAGGATAAAAATACTATTTTACTATGCACTCAATAACAAAATTTATATTTTTAATCTTTAACAGAGATTTTCCCCAATTCAATGTTTGATTGAATAGGGTTTATTTTATTCTAGGGTACGGATGCCCCATAGGGACTTACCCCTATGATTATTTACATCTTAAGCATTTGTTACTCGAGAAAACTTTGATAAAACTAGTGATTTCTCCTTTTTTACAGTCATCAAAATATTGGCTAATCTTTTTATTTATGAAATTTGTGAAATTCTTGTTCAAAGATTTGGCCTTTGAGAGTTTCAAAGGAGGAACAATCAGCCTGAAATCAGATTTTGAAATGGAAGCAAAAGGAATGAAATGTAAATGTACTTGATTATGATGAAACTCGAAGGTATTCAAATTATCCTATGTTGTGCTTTACATTTTAGAATCGATTTTTTTTTTAAAGTTGATCAATTTCATTTATAATGTTTGGTCTTACATTCCAACAACACATGTTGAAGGAAATGCCTGGAGGGTGAGAATATATGCAGTGACTGAAGTCAACAATAGACTCAAATCCTAGAACTAATGTGAGGACTACTAAGTGGTAGTGCCTTGAACATAAATCTAAAGAAGTGTAAGATACTTACAAACTTCACCTCATATGAGGCATAGCCAGTCTAACCTGAATTTATTGTCCTGTCTGGAAAGGGCTACCAACTAACCCACCTAATCATTTTTAAAATCATGTAATCCGGTCTTTATGTATATAAAGAGTATGGATGGTTGTTTTTTATTTAGAAAATAGGACTTACAGCTTATCTTTGACGTCAAGATATCTGACCATGTGGGTATGCACAATACTAACTCACAAGAATGCAGATTTTTGGTGTTTAGTGCTTAAGTGAGGATTTTCTACATGTGACACACTTGGCCATGCATGATCAATTTAGTTTTTAGAAAATTTAGCTCGCTTGAATGAGCCATGCAAATTTTCTTTTATTTAAAAAATGATGATTCCTATGATTAATTTTAAGTTGTTTACATTTTAATAGATAGAAAAATTAGTTTTGTCCTAAAAGCCTACAGCATCATAAGTCCAGACACCTACATGCAAAACAAGAGAAGAAACCTAAAAAAACCTGCTTCTATTACGCACCCAGTAAACAATCAACACGTATATATACATGAATCAACCAAAGAAAGAATGTAAATATCCAAGTTATTACAATTATTATTGGTAGCTGATTTACCCGTCATTATACAACCCAGATAATTTTTTACAAACTCTATCTGTGGGGGTCTTCAAGCTTTGGCTTCTAAATAGGTCATAGGCATTACCTTTGATAGGCTCACCCTCCTGGTCCACATTTCCTTTAATTATACCCCACAGGCTCAAATACACCTCTTAAATCTATCAAAAAATATTTCAAAATATAAAAGACACAAAACTTGCAAAATAGGGGAAGGATTAAGAGCATGTATATACATAAAGCATGAATAATCATCCAGAATTACCTAGTACTTAAAGTGTCAAGCTCCTGCTTCTATCATATTAATCATGCATCCTTGGGGGCATTTGATACGCCGGTTCAGACTGAATCGGCCCAGCCGGCCCAATGGTCGGCTCAGCACTTCTACAGGAGGCAAAAACAGTCCGCCTTCTCTTAAATTTTTCGCCCAATGGGTGGGCCCCACTCGTCCGATTGAATTCAAATTGAAGATGGCGGCTAGGGCTTGGGAGGGAAATTAGATTAGGAAAGTTTTTGTATTAAAGTGCATGAGAGGATTAGGGGGGATTATGTTTTGATTGATTGGAATTAGGGTTTCTTGGCGACTTGGGCTCTAGACTCTCTTGTCTAAAGATTTGGGAGAGACGATCCCCCTCTTGAATTGAGGATCTCTTGTATCTTTGCTTTGTTCTTGTTTCTCTTTGTTTTCTACGAGATTTGCTATCGTTTGATTGTTCTTCCACCACGAATTCTTCGTTTTCTCGCTGTTTTTACCGATTATTGTTAGGTTTGCTTGTGAACTCAAGTATTTCCTATCAAATTGATATCATAGAGTCTTGGGAGTAGTGGAGGACTATTTTCGGCAAATTTCAGCAATGATTCTTGGCCCAGAAAAGAGAAAAGTTGCTGTTTTTTTAGTCTCAAATCCAAATTTTGTGAATCTACAAACTCCGGATTGTGATGGCGGCCAAGAAGGTAGATGCTTTGGAGGAAAGGCTTGAAAAGGAGAAGAATCAAACCAAAACAACAGAGGAGGAAAGGATTTCCTCCATGGAAGGACAAGTAGCCGATCTCCATGACATGATGAAGAAAATGTTGGAAATTCAAAACCAAACGGCGGCTTCCAGGGGAAAAAGGGGTGGAAGGGAAAAGCATGAATTCTGAAATTCTAGGAAGGAAGATGAGGTGAAAATCATGGAAGGAAAAAGAAGAAGACCCCATCTAGAGCCTGTCCAGAGGGAACAAAGAGGAGGTGGATATGGGGAATGCCAAGAGGGATACTATGGCCGCCAAGGTGTTGATTTTGAAAAAAGAAGGGGGGATTTCGAAGGGGGTTTTGGGCTATGGCAAGGCAAGGGAAAATCAGGAGACGTGGGGAGGGCCTAGCGCTTGGGAGAGGGGAAACTATGGAAGAATAAGAGGGAATGGTTGCGACCAGAAGGTTAGAAAGTTGAAGATGTCCATATTTGAAGGAGAAGATGCGTATGGGAGGATTTATAAGGTGGAGCGTTACTTCGTCATCAATGGGCTGACGGAGGAGGTGAAGCTGACAGTAGCAGGCTTGTGCTTGGAAGGAAAAGCTCAATCTTGGAATCAATGGAGAGACCAGAGGAGGCCTATCAGGAACTGGAGGGAATTCAAGTACTGCATAATATAACGTTTTCATACCGACCAGGAAGGAGATTTCATGAGCAATTCTTTGCTCTAACGCGGGAGGGATCAGTAGCAGACTACCGAGAACGATTTGAGCACCTAGCCAGCAGGGTGGAGCGATTATCTGATACGGTATTGGAGGGCAATTTTATGAAATGGTTAAAGGCGGAGATCCGAGCAACAATGAAGGTTCTGATGTCACGTGACTTGGGGGAGGCCATGAAGTTCCTGTTGGTTGAAAATTAGAGAAATTTGGAGAGGGGAGCCAGAAGTAGTAGTACAAGCGATACTTACAGGATGACGACCACCCATCTAGCACCTAAAGGTCCTACAACAGGAGGGAGTCGGGAGGCCACAAAGGAGAAGACAATAGGAGGAAATGGGGAAATTTCAAGCAGCTGATAGAAAAAGAGATACAAGAGAAGAGGGCTAAGGGGTTGTGCTTCAGGTGCGATGAAAAGTATACGCACGCTAGGGCATCGGTGTAAGAATCGAACTCTTCAAGTTCTCACCGTCTATGATGACGAGAAAATTGAGGGAGGTGAGAAGGAGACAGAGCAGGAGATATATTTGGATCTGGCTGAGATTTTCCTGAACTCAGTGGAATGATTCACTACGAATCATACCAAGAAGGTAAAGGGGGAGATAAAGGAAAGGGAGGTGGTGGTGCTGATTGATAGTGGGGCTACTCACAAATTCATTTCCATAATCAAACCTCATCAATAATGCCATCTAATAATCCAAATATGAACCCAGCATCTTTGACTTGGTCAGATGCTTCAATTGACCTTAAAAACACAGTACCGTAAGGATTATTAATGAGGATGTTGATCAGACTTTTATGTTTGATATCAGACCACCCATCTGACATAATTGTTACTCCTGTTTGGGCCCAAATCCTCTTAATTTCTTTAATGCTTTTATCAGTGCTTTCCAACTCCTTCAGAATCCATGTTCTCATATCATATATGGTACTGGATTGGCTCATTTTAGGGGATTGACATATTTCTTGATGGGATTTGTATATTTTTTAATTGGATTGGTTTATTAGGGGGACGGATATCTGATTTTTGTTTCTTATTAAAAGATGAAGAGTAGCTAACATATCGTTTCTGAGAAAATAATTTGCTCTGATCAATATAATTATTGAGCTTGACCTCAATAACTTCTATTCTTTCAGCTAAATCTTCAAACTTTCTGCTCAGCCTACCTTCAAATCCAAGAAAGAGTTTTGTACAGGTTTCTTGACAGGATTTGATTATTTTTTCTTAAAGAGAATCAAGTGCTTCAGCAGAAAAATGAAAGTGTGTTAGCTGAGTGGTGGGGGTCTTGCTGAGGTGGGGTATGATGGGAAGATTGGGGGGGTTTGATGGGTGGATATTTTATGAGGGGATGGAGGGCTGTCTGATGGATATTTTTTGATGTTAACCAGATCAATTTCAGTCTGGGAAACTCCCTAAAGGACATCAAAAATCTATAAAAAAATTTGTATATCAGCAAAATCTTATTCTTTATAGATGTATTAATT